ACTGCTACTGCTACTGATGCTGGCGGCGACAACGACGACTGCAACTACTTCTACTACGCCTCCTGCGGCTGCTGCTGCGGCTACTCGTGCTGCTGCTAGTACGACTGCAGTTGCTGCTGCTGCTGCTGCTGTGCACTACCGCTACTTATACAGCTGACTGATACTGGGTGGAAGGATAGTAGGACAGAGATCAGATGAACATTAGCAAAAGTTTGCAGTAGCACAGCAAGAACGGCAACGACGATCTTTGCAAAACTGGAAGTAGTTGAGTCTAGTTTCGGTTAGTGACATACTACTACAAGACACACAACGCACAATCGAACGACATGCAATGCGACGACAAGCGAACGCATCAACATGGCAATTTGGGGGAGAGTGCGACTACGAAAACCACCAGTCGTTGGCAATTCAGATTTAACACAGCTCTGCGGCCTCCACAAAGTCTTGCTGGTTCAGTGAGACCTCGAACTTCACCTTCCAGAGCTTGGCTCAAAGGTCTGAAAAGCAGTGAAGGGAGATCGTCGGACGACCACAGCCACTCCGGAGAGAGATGTGAGACAATCGTGCCTCGCCAGGGGTAACCACCTGGCACACATTCAAAAGGTCAAGAACATGGTCATGATATGTCATGATGATGCTGTAGATGGCCCCGGCCATCATCTGCATCATCATCATCATCATCATCATCATCATCATGAAAGTCACCACATCCATCACCGTCGTCGTCATTACCACCAGCAGCATCGAACTTCATCAGAACCATTGTCGTCGTAATCAGCACCGCTGACGCTATGTGGGCCAGGATTGCCAGGGTTTCTTGCTGTGGGTGCCAATGGCAGCACTACACACAAAGGACCCTTGACCAAGTACTCCTTCTCGTGCTGGTCACGAGGCCTTCCTGCCAAAGATGTTGGCCAACAAACCACAAAATAGCACGCCGGTAAGTGCCTGAGGAAATCAGTGAAATCACTGTCAAAGCTAGACCCTAAGCCCTGATGAAGCACCAAGTCCGAGTTGTCGCTGCTAAGCGCCGGGCAGCAGGAGACACGCACTGCAAAAAAGTGTCGTTGACCTTTCAGCTGTTGGAGATAAGTTTTGGATGCTTGAGGCTTTAGGGTTAACGGCTACAGGGTTTGGGACCAGGCATACTGGAGCACTTCTGAGGAGTATGCTGGTTTTGTTGACGAAACCCTGCTCCTCTGGGATTTCCATGGAGTCTTCCAGTTGCACTCAGTCACTCACTGGGCTGTGCGCTCGTCCGGTGCGACCTGCTTTGCGTGGTGGCATTCCGGTAAGCCGGCAATGCCACCTCTTCCCTGCAGCCACCCACTCCAAATCCAAAAGATGCCCATGCCTGAGGCAGTGCCTTGAAATTTATCGACCTCAACCAAGATCAAGCTGCAAAGTAAATGAAGATACGGCTTACGGTAGTGGCAGTACTAGTACTGCTGCCTTTGCTCTGAGCTAGCAACCGCGCTGTAGAATCTCAGTGCCCGGCCCGAATGCCAGGCACTGACAAAGTGCCAAATCTGCAGCGGATCCTTCCGACCCAAAAGGCGTTCAGGGTTAAAGGAACGTTTGTTGAAGCGCAGGCCCTTTCGGGCTTGGGGTATACAGCCAAGGTGGAATGACAAGAACCAGGCTAAGTTATGTTTGAAGGGTTCAGCTTGGGTTGTCGAGCTTCTGAACCTTCTGATCGGGTACGGAAGCCGCGCCCCCAAATATTGAACACTCAACCCTATACCCCGTACCCCCTCAAGCCTAAACTCCCCTGTCTAAACCCTATAAATCCTGAACGCCCAACCACCCTGAACTCCCCTCCCTAAACTCCTAAACTCAAATTCCTAAATTCCCCGCCCTTGTATCTGAGAGGCCGACGTAGAGGCGGCGCCAACTGGAACGGAGGCAGACTCCACAAGCACCTGAAGCTGCAAAGCAGTGAATTCCTGGGCTCCAAGGTTTAGGGTTTAGGTTTTGGGCTCTAGGGTTTAGGGTTTAGGGTTTAGGTTTTGGGCTCTAGGGAATAGGGGTTGGGCAAATGAAGAGGGATTCATGGGTGGCGACCGGGCAAAGGAGGCGAAGAGCGGCCAAACGACCATTACTCGCAGAACCGACTTGCGGGAAGATAGGGATGACTTCGGGCTGAGGGCTTAGGGTTTAGGCATTAAGTTGGGGTTTGAGGGTAAAGAGTCGTATTCAAGAGTCGGGTACCTTTCCCGGTTGTAAAGGAAACTGTTGGGCTCGACACACGTGCTCTTGTGATCCATAGGCCCATCAACAAAGCAAGACAAGGTGAATATTTTCCAACAATGCTTGTGCGGAAAAAGAGATGTGAACGAGTGACACGAAACGGTAAAATGCCTCTCGTATGAGAACCTGTCAATTTCCATAGACGGCATGCCGAAACTCAACACCTCAACAGTTCTGAGGCCTTCATGGCCTCAATGCACAGACGCAGAATCCATGACCGTTCCGTATGGAAGTTAGGCCGATCTGCCAAAACGCCTTCAGGAACTAGTCAGCTGATCCTGCACAGCACCAGAATTCGCATCACCCCAGGTTACAACAGATCCATCGAAAAGGACCGCGGCGAATGCCCAACTAGAGGCACAGACCCATCGCCCCGGATGGCAGCACAAGCGGTTGAAGTAGCTTGTAACGACTTCTCCCGTTTGACAAATCGGACGTCTGAGCACAACACACACTATAGATACCCGAGGTACTAAAGGGGCCTTGGCAATCAGAATAGGGTTTGGGGATATATTCTTCTATACGTATAAGAAGGACCCCCGCCCTCAAGGAAAAGGCTTGGGGGATACGCTGCTTTAGGGATTCAGGCTGTGGGGTTTAGTGGTATCAGGGATCTTAAACACCCTGACACGGTCGCAAGGCTGGCACGGTCGTGTTTCCGCTGATTGGCCCCAGGTACGGGTAGAGGTGGAAGTACGTGAAGCCTGTGGAAAAAAGAAGCGCCGAAAATCGGCCAAGATGATGCTGCAGCCATGTTCTTGACTGCCCATTCCCTCAAATGGTCTTGACCATCACCCCCAAAGCAACAAGCAGGTGGTAAGCCTTAAACCGTGCATCCTAAACAGGCGGTTGTTCAGCAGCCAAGGCGCCCAAGAACTCGAAGGTCGCATCGCTTCCCCCCTGTCGCGAATGTAAGTTGGTATATTCCGGTTTGGGGTTTAGGGGTCTAGGGTTTAGGGTTCTGGGTTTGGGGTTTAGGGGTTTAGGGGTTTAGGGTTTAGGGTTCAGGGCTTCGGGCTTTAGGGCCTTCGGGTTTGGGGTTTAAAGGTAGGGCTTCCTTAGGGCTTCACGGGTTGAGGCTTCAGGAGCTCGGGCTGCCAACTCATCTTCAAACTGACACCAGAGCAGCACGGTTTTGGCAAAAAGAAAAGAACCCTGAAACCCTAAACCCCTAACCTACACCCAGAACCGTGAACGCTAAACCCCCTGAGGCACGGGCTGTAAAATTCTGTCCGTTGTTGGACAAGTACACCTCCGATCCGTCGGAGCTTCGTTGAGTTCAGGGTATAGGGTTTAGGGTTTAGGCATCGTGGTTTAGGCTTTAAGGGCCAAGGGTTTTGGGGCTTTTGAGGGTGTGGAGGGTTTTGTGGCGTTGAAGTCTATAAAGGGTTTCGGGGGCGTTTTAAGGGCATACGGTATAAGTATTTGGTAGGTAGTTTAATACGCTCATTCTTCGGGATCCTTATCATCTTTCTCGAAATACAAACTATTCACAGTATTCCTTGGGGTTCCTCCTTCTAGTTATATTGGGAGTAAGTGGCACCAAACTCCATTTGGCCTGCACTCGGCCAGGGGGTACAATCGGCGTCCTGCCAAGAGGAGTTCGATCGGTTTAGGGTTTAGGGTTTAATTAGGGGTTTAGGGCCCAGGGGTTCAGGAATTTGCGGTTGATGATTAGGGTTTAGCGTTTGGCTTGCGGAGATTTTGGGAACGTGGGTGGGGTCATGTTCGTGATCGTTTGAAAGACTTCTTATACAGTTTCCCAACGCGGGAACCCTGCATTGCAAACAGGTGTCACTAAAAACTAAACCATGGGCAATGGTGCAAGGATAGAGCAAGAGGCATACGCTTCCGATGTTGGTGCAGCTCTCGGCACATGACCCTGCTGTATTCATCTTGAAGGCATAAATCACAAACGCTGACCCCAAAAAACTTGCCAGCTCTTTCATCACTTGCAAGCACTCAATTTGTTTCTCTGTACAGACATCTAGCATCTTCGTAAGAACTTGAGTATCCAAATTCCAAAGCCTTCAAAACCTGAAACCCTAAACCATGATCTTAGTAGCTCGCATGTAGGCATGGAACCTGCATGCAAATGCTTGTGCACGACTGTGGCAAGCTTTCGCAAATGGCAAATCCTATTTCATGAAGTGCAGTCGCCTGCCTGCAAAGCACAAGTGCGCTGGAGATGAACCGGAATGCCTCGGCATTGACAGCGCCAACATAGAAAGATGCCGCTCTTCTTCTTGACTCAGAGTTGTTGGACGTTTTACCGACATCATGTGGTGCAGTGTAGAGTCAGGCTGAAGCGTGCCACGGCGTGCTTGCAAATGCCCGGCGACACGCAGCAACACGGTTCAAAGATCTCTCGGATACAGGCTTCAACTCTCAAATCGCCAAATCCAGCTATGTGCATACTGTACATGCATGCATGCATGCATGCATGCATGCATGCATGCATGCACACAAACAATGACTGTGACGGCATGTGCGTAAGCAATTCGAAATGGAAAGGGGTTCGTCAAGTATCCAGGCATGGCGGCGGCAATATAACATCTTTGCTGGCCCACGGCGAGACTCTGCAGCAGCGCATGGGAGTGGAGCTTGAAGATTGCAAGGCTGAGATTTGCTGCCGGATGGTTCATTGGTCATAAGAATGTTCTCCAGGTAGCTGCATGATGCGATTAACCTTACGGCTCGTGGTGGGACATGGAATCTGTTGGCAGACATCATAGGTTGGTGGCATGATGCGTGGTCGAGCAAGGATGCAGTCCCTGTTGGGATTTATTCGGCACCTGGATATGACGATTGGCGGTGGAAACACATGTTCTATCTTTCCGGATCTTTCCAGTGAGAGTGCGCATCTCACAACTACAGCTGGCTTCAACGAGCCGGTGTGTCCAAGCAGGTGCTCAGGAACTGCCTTGGGTTGCCCGTTGCTGGAAATAAGCTCGTTGTTGGATTATGAGAAGAACACGGGGAGTTGCATCATGAAGCGGTTTCAGCCTGCTTCCAATGTGGGCTGTGCCTTTTCGGTCAGCAAAGAGCAGGACTCCAAGCGGCCTGGTCTTGGAACTGGGTGGGCCCTCTTTCGAGTGGTGCAGCCGAACCGTGGGCAGCCGTTGATAGCGATGGCTTTTGATGCAGAGCGGCCAGTCAATCACAGCCCCAAAATCCTCGGGTTACCTCGTCCGGTTTGCGAATATGACCCGGGATCTCCTCTCAGCAAGTCTTGGTGCACACAAGGCACCCGCCTCCACAGACAAAGCATGCATGGGCCACGCTCCACATGGATAGATACATGCATAAACATATCTACATATACACACGTAGACATACCGTGTATATATATATATATACATACACAGAGAGACAGGATAGATAAACATTTTTGTTTACAGAATTGCGGGCGCACATACATATATATATATAGATACACACACACACACACGTGCATACATACGCGTTTGTACACATGTATGCATATGTATATATACAATATACTATTCACAATGGTCTGTATATATATACACACATAACAGTTGATGTGCGTGTGTATATCTGCATTCACATGGGCAAATGTACCAAATACGATACTGCGTAGATCTGCTGTGACTGTGACCCTCCAACCCACGCTCTGCACCACATAGAAGTGTTAAACCCTAAACCCCTAAACCCTAAACCCCTGAACCCTAAACCCTAAACCCTAAACCCTTCTCAGGTAGGCTCTGGAACCATCAGGTCGCCGAACTTACAGGTCAAGCGTACGTCGTTGATGAAGTGCGCACCCTCCAGCTGAACCTCGCTGAGGTCGCTTCAAGATCACTGATACAGCTCCCGAGGTTTGGGGCTCCGGGCTTTGGGCTTCGAGGGCTTTGGGGTGCTTTGCTTAGTGGCTACCGGCTGAGGCTCTGCTGCTGACAGGCTTTTGAGCCCTGCAGAGTATTGTGAGCCCTAATCAAGATGAAGAGTTGTCTGCTGTCAGATGCGAAATAGGATTTCAGTTGCAGGATTACGGAACTCGGGGTACACCTTTCGGTAATGCAAATATCCGGCGGAAAAGAAATTTACTTTCCGAAGGCACATGTCCTAAATTCCTTTGATTACTATAAACTCTCAGAACCTCGGCACGGTTCAGGTAACCCCAGTCTGCAGTGCCAAGGGAGCGTAAATGAAACCCAGGAAGCAGAATCTAGGGGCAAGCCTCACAGCTTCCATGCTCCGGCTGGAGCTACAAGTGCTGTTTTGCGTGGCTTTGGGGTTGAAGGTTCCTGGGGTTTTTGGTTCGGGCTTTGGGGCTTTAGGGTTCTAAGCTCATTGCAAAACATGCCTTGTGAGCTTAGGGTTGTAGCGCTGTCGCGTTATGTCGCGACTCAACAGTACAGGTCGCGCTGATCACAGAAATGAGCGCATGATAGTCGTAGGTGTCAAGAACACAAAGAAGCGGTGCAGCTGATTGTAAAGCCTTATATAGAGCTTTGACACGGTGTGCAACCACCCTTCATGATCTTAGGACAAAGTCAGCATTAGACAGTGCATGACCGCATCTGGGGAGATGGCGATCGTCCCACCACGCGATGAGCCGAAGGAGGGCGTCACCTGGCTGCCATAATTACAGTGGTTTCGTGATCATTTTTTTGTTGAGCCCCTTTTGCCGACAGCAGTACAGATCCGCCAGCGAAAGGTCAGAGGTCAGGGTCCATAGACTTTCGGGTTTGCGGCTGTGAGTTGAGGGCTCCAGAGTCGAGGGCCTTAGGGAGTCGGGATGACCAGGATCTATCAATGCGATGCGAACTGCTCTCCTGCACATGCCAAGTACGGTGTAGAACATGCGCAGCCACTATGTTCTGATGATGATTCAGAGGGATCATGAGAAACAATGACAGCAACAGTAATGGTATTCTGCAGCTCAACCGGAGAACCCTCAGTGTGGTAGTCTCATAGTCGCTTAGTGTTGTCGAAAGACTTCCTCGACCAACAATAAAAACCACGTTTACCCGCTGCTCCGTGTTAAAGAGTCACAAACCCTCATGTAAGGGCCTTTAACAAATCGAATGGAGTTTTGGGGTATACTCTGTGTGTATCTATATATATATACACACACACATTATGTATATATATATATATATTATATATATATATATATGCATCTACACAATACGGATCCCTAAGGAATACTACAGTAGTAGCCAGCATTCAGGCTGCTACTTTAATCCTCAAAGCATCTCGAACACGAGAGGCGCCTTGGCGACAGTCGGGGTGACGTAGTACTTGAAACCTCAGGGAGCTCGTCGATGCGCGCATCGGCCAATGATACTACGTTATGTTAACATAACATATTCTATTCCACTATATCTCACTATACTGTGCCATACTACATTCGGTTAGGTTTGAAGTTCTTGTATATTTCATATTATGTCATATGCTTGAGGCTTTAGGCTGTGAAGTCGCCTTCCCTAGCACAGTTCTGCCATACATTACACGTGCAGCATAGACACGTCTGCACAGATGCACAAACGGAAGGATGTCCACACATGCACCTTTACGTCTCTGCTTGTGTTGTGTGTGTGTGTACGAAAATCCTTAAGTTTTTGCCATACATGTACACATACCAGAAACAGTGGATGTCGACGTGTATAACAGCCACCTTGTAGACCCATGGATAAGTTAATGATTAGATGAACTCCTGTTGGCGTGAGGTTCTTGTTGGCATCAGCCCGAGGTCGACCATACACGGGGACCTTGTGTGTGTGTGTGTGAGCGGTGGCGATGCACAACTCACATACATACTATATTTATATATCTATATATATATATATATACATTGAATATTACATGCATCTCTACATGTAACACATGAATATAACACGATTATGCATTAGATGGCATGAGCACCTCCATAAATACCTACGCGTATATCTGCATCTGTATACAAAGACATCAGCACCCAGGAACGCAAGAGTGTATCTCAGCAGCTGGCGAACCGGATCGCCGCTCGGACCAATCTGCTTTCGATTTTGGCCATCTGCGGTCAGCGTAAGCCTGGCCCGGAGCTTGTCGGAGCCCAGAGGCTGCGATTCGTCCGTATATCTACATCTGCATATACACAGTATGTGCGAACGAGTGTACACCTGAAATAACAAATGTTGCACTTTCTCATTCCTTGCCTTGTTTTGTGTGTGTGCAGTTGCTTGATTGTTTCAGTGTTTGTATATTTATTTGATTGTGTGCTTGTTTGTTTGTGTGCCTTTTTGCTTGTTTTTTGACTGACTGAGTGATTAGTTGATTGCTTATATATCTATGTATGTATGTAATACTAAAGCATAGAAAAGTATAGTAAAGCATAGTGCAGCGTAGCATGGTATGCTATAATCTGGTCTGTCTGTTCGCGGTTGTTTGTGGCTTGCTTGCTCGCTCGCTCGCTCGCTCGCTCGCTCGCTCGCTCGTTTGCTTGCTTGCTTGCTTGCTTGCTTGCTTGCTTGCTTGCTTGTGTGTTGTTGTTTCTATTAAGGGGCTAGAGCTTCGATACTCTGATGCTACAATTCTGCGAGAGCGACATGATACTGCAGTCGCAAAGAGTCGGCATGAGAGCCTGTACTTAGTCTGGTGGTTTACGGTTCAGCACAATGGAGCAACATGGGGATCTCTGGACTCTACCTGTGGCCCAAAAAACATCAAAAAACCGACATTTTGAAGGAGGTGTATATAGAAACCTTAATAAGGAACCCTAGAAAGGTAGGTTTTTTCGGCTACAGGTAGCAGTCAGGCATTCCGAAGTGGAGCGCCCAATCCTGCATGCAGCACTAGTCTGTGAGGCGAGCGGCTCACCCAAAGCATGGGTAACATAGGGCCCGTATAGCTGGCTAGGGCTAGAGATTTCGGATTTAAGCAGCGATGGAACCCTAAACCCCTAAACCCTAAACTCTAAGCCCTAAGCCCTAAGTGTAGCTTCCCTGACCCTGGAAGCCAAAGTCCCAGAGCCCTCAGTTGCGTGTAAACGTAAATTACGCACGTAAAGGTTCGCTTCTCCATGCTTCACCTACTGCATGTACATATCTCCACACACCAAAACTTGTAGATATCGTTCCCGTGAACCATGCAGAATTAGAGTCTGTACGAGCGTGCATGAATTTAGTTACTGGTGAACGCTTGCCCGTGCTTCGTATAGTCGTTGATGTGCCTGTTCTTGTTTTTTACTTTCCCTCCTTCAAGCAGTGATCTCTGGGAATACCTTGTCTTATGAGGCGCTTCCAGCCAAAGCGGCAACTTACCTTATCACAGCCTTGGAAAATATACATATTGAACAAGTACAGAGTCCTCCCATGTTGATGCACAATCGTGTCTGCGCCGCTCCACTACTCCCGGCTTGTGCAGCGGTGGCGAGGTGCAGGTTGCCTCCGGTCAGAGACGCATCATAGACATGTCAATGTGGAAGTGCGTGAAAGTCAATCTAGATTTTCGTCCCGTTAAGTAGCTCATCGAATAATGAAGAAACTTCGAATGAAGCAGAACTGGCCTGAAGGAAATCCTAGTCTGGAATAGTCTCCATACTCTCTCAAGCGCTTGCATTGGGAGCGGCTTGTAACCTAACTAAGTCTCATCAGTTCGAGGGTGGGGAGCTGATTCAGCATCATTCCCTGCAACCTGTAGCATTCTTCGGGGAAGCCAGAACCCTGAATCCCCGATGCCTCGTTCTGCGTCACCAGGAAGAGTGGGACTTGGATGTTCCCGAAAACGCACTTCAGGTTCTTCGAGTTCAGGATAGGCACATCCTCGGTGTCACAACCTACTCTGACAGGAAGCTTGCATTTCCCTGAAGTTGTGCGTCCCTTGCTCGCACCAATCATTACGACGATGATCACATCATGATGCAGAATGATGATGATGATCATCATCATCATTGATGCTGGTGGGGATGGTGGTGGTCTAATGGTGACCTTGGTGGTCGTCACTATCGGAGAATATGCCTCTGATTCTACATTGTCAAAGACATCGGCAAAACCATCTTGAGCCTCGAAACCCTAAACCGCCTAAACCCCAAANNCCCCCCCCCCCCCCCCCCACACGCTCACATATCAACACCTGTAAAGCCCAAACCCAAGCACCAGGACTCCAAAACCCAAACCTGAGACCCGAAGCCAAAATCTGAGGCCCCTGCAGATCTGAGAGACACCAAGGTGCTTCCAAACTCAGGCCCGCTCGAAGGCTCCACCTTCCCACAGCTTGTTTGCCTTTTTGTGTTTTTGTCACCTTCTTATAGCTCCTGGATCCCTCCTCCCGGTGGGTTTAGGGTTTAGGGTGCTGGCACCCGAAACCCCCTGAGCCCCAGACCACGGTTTTGTGTTTTGCTTGAGGGGTCTTTGCAGAATGTTCTCCTTGTTTTGGAGCTTCAGGGTGTAAGGCTTGCAATTTTGGGGCTCTGGGCTACGTTATAAGGCATAGCATGTGCAATTTAGGGGCTTCTGTGTTTCCCGTCTCTTTCAATTGTGTAAAGCACCCTCACTCCCGTCATCAGTACCTGTTCAATGAGCTTGAAGCTTCTTGTCCATCGTTTCAGGGCTCAGGGCTTCAGGTCTAGGCTTAGGCGAAGGCTTCTAGGCTCTGCGAATACCATCTACACCGCCACCACTGGCAATACTGCTACGACCTTTGCTGCTGCTGCTGCTGCTGCT